TATTTATTTTATTTATTTATTTATTTATTTTTGGTGGAGGGAGGTGGAAGAATTGTATGATGATGAATTAGTAGTTGGAGGGCTCCTCTGTCTGGTAGGCCTTACTTCTTTTTTTTTTTCGTCTGTGTTTGTGTGTCTGTATTGCTTTATCCACATATACTGAACAGTCATTCTTGTGGTTGTCTTTTTCTGTATTCAAACCTAAAGAATCAGATGTGGGTGGTCGGTGGGTGTTCTGATGTGGTTTGCTTGTTCTTCTTTCCTATCAAACATCTATCGTCCTTATCTCTCCTCCTTCTTTTTTTGTGTTTGCTACTGTTTTGTAACATCTCTAGTCTTCAGCACTTATATAACCTAATTGTGTTGCAAGTGCCGTAAAATGCTTACTAAAACATGTCTTGCTTTTTCGATGTATGAAACAGTCAGCATTGTGGTGGTATATTTCTCTTAACTCAAAACTAAAGAATCAGATGATCGTCCTTCATTTAATTTTTTTTAGGCGCGGGATGAGGAAAGTAAGGGAGGGTGGGGGAGGTGAGAGGGGTGGCATGAGGGTTGAGAGGATGTGTGAAATAAAAGATTTAACTTCAAATTACCGTCCTTCTCCTCCTTGTAATGTTGTCAATGTTATTGTTTGTTTCAGCGAGAAAGAAGGCAGAGAGCAAGTGTCGCGGCATCACCAGGAGCTGCTGTGGGTCAAGACTGACCCGTCCATGAAGTACAGCATGAAGGACATAGAGCGGTCAGTGGAGAAACTGGAGCTGGAGGCGGTCTTGTCGCCCCGGCAGGCCTCCCGCGGCGGGATGCGGCACAGCTGTCTGACTGACAGCGTCGCGGCGGACGGCGGGGACCTTCTGTCTCTCAACCTGTCGGCTTCCATGAGGATTCCTCCGGTCATCCCGGCTGCCGATCTGGGAGGCCACTCGATGAGCTCTCGGCAACGTGGTGGAATGGCTTCGTCCTCGTCGTCGGCTTTGTCTTCACCTCAGGTGCCGTACGGGCGGAGCAACAGCCAGATGCAACTTCAGCTTCAGCAACAGCAACATCATCAGCATCAGCAGCAGCAGCAGCAACAGCAACATCATCCACTTCAACATCAGATGTCTCTGCCGTCGCCCATATCAAGTGTTGGGAACATGAGCACGGACAGTTTCTCTGGGGCCTACGGGTACGACCCGACCCTGAACAGTCCAGTGGCTGCACAACAGCACAACATGTACGGCCACCCTCAAGCCCAGCATCTGCAGCACCAGCAGCAGCAGCAGCAGCAGCATCAGCAACAACAACAGCCACAGCAGATGTACTCACCACGCCGCCAGCAGTACCAGAGTCAGATGTCCATCCCGGGCCAGTCCCCTGTTGGACACAGCATGATGGACTCGCCCATGAGGTCGGCTGACAACTCTGACAGTGGCGGGATCACCGGCTCCTTTGTTGACTACCTGTTTGACAATGCCGGTCCCCCCTCCGTGCCATCATTTGACAACAGCAACGTGTTCAACCCCGATGCCCTAGTGACCACTGCCCAGCCTATGCCCAATTCAGTAGGGCGGGCTCGAGGCAGGGGCAGGGCGAGAGGTCGACCTAGAGGAAGTGGTCGCGGGGGAAGGGGAGCTGCGAGGGGGACGCGAGGTACGCGTGGCCGAGGGAGAGGCAGAGGTCGAGGTCGTGGTAGTAGCACGGCCGCTGCCATGGAACAGTTTGCTCAGCTGCGAGACAGCATGACGGGTCCGGGTGTGAGGAAGTCAGAGGGCATGATAGGCCGGACGAATCTGTCGCCCGCGGGAGATGTGGGCTCGGACCACTTCTTAAGTCCCAGTTCGGGTATGGGTGTCCAGCGAATGGCCCCGTCTGCCGGTGCGGGTATGCAGCAGCAAATGCAGCAGATGAGCACGAGCCCTGGAGGAGGTGGAATGGCTTCGCATCACGCTGGCTCAGTGCGAGGTATGGAGCTGCAGCGAATGGCTTCAGACAGTGGAGTGACCTTGAACCAGTCACACGCAGATGTGAGTGGCCTTGGCCTCCAACGCATGCATTCGGATGATGGCATGAGTTTTCAGCGTAGTTTGTCTTCCCTCGAAGGCATGGACCTGCTGGTGCCCAGCTCTGACTTACTTGCTCAACAACAACAACAACAACAACAACACCAACATCAGCGCTCTTGGCGTGGCCAAGACCAGCAAGCTGCCACTGCTCAAGGCTTAGGTCAGCGATCCCTGGTAGGCCACGAGCCAATGGTACAGGACAAGAGAAACAATTCCGTGATGGCTGGCAGACTCCTCACCGAGGAGCAACAGCAGCAACAGCAACTACAGCAACAGCATTTTCACCGCGCGCAGTCCATGGAGGAATCTTTAGGGATGTCGGGGCAATATGGCGCCACCATGAGGCCCGCTGTGACACAGAGGGGACAGCAGCAGCAGCAGCGGCCGGGGGATTTTTCCGGCGCCAACATGTCCCCGATGGTTCAGGGGGCTGGTCCGGGCCGGCCGCCCCACGACTCGTTCCAGCGCTCTCTGTCGTTCCAAGGCCCGCAGCAGTCCCCGCTGCTCCCGGGCGAGGCGGACGTGGAACATTCCATTCTGGGAAACTTGTTGAAGGGGAGAGGCGGGTCAACCTCCTCCACTGGGAGTAAGTCTCCCGGTCAAGGTCAGTCCATGGGGAGGTCACCGGGTCAAGGGTCAGGGTATCAGGACCGCATGGGCCGGTCTCCCATGGCGCAGCAGTCTGTGGGTGTGGAGCGTGGGGGCGGTGGTCGGTCGCCAGCCACCTCCCTTATCTCGGAGGCAGCCTCACCAGCATCTGTTTTCTCCCCGGAGTCAAGTCACCTCACCAGCATCAAAGGTGAGGAGGGGGTGTTGTTAGGTGGGTGCTCTGATGTGGTTGGCTCTTTCTCGCCTATGAAACATCAGTCATCCTTCTCTTTTCTCCTTTTTTTATATTTGTTTCTCTCTCGTAATGTCTGTAATCTTCGGCACTTTTATGACCTAATTGTGTTGCAAGGTAGCTGTTATCATTGTAATAGACTATAGAGTTCATATCAGCTGTATATGGCTATAAATAAATCCCACTCTTCAGCCTATGGTATAAGCACATAGTGTTGTACCAATATCTCAGTTGCGAAAACAAACGACCAAGCAAACAAAAAACGAACCCAAAAAACTTAGGTGGTTGGAGTTGGAGGGCACTACCAGTAGGTGCTACTTCTTTACTTTCCATCTGTTGTTTCTGTCTGTCTGTATTGCTTTTTCTCATCACTAAATTGATGTGCTTCTCTTTATTGGAACAAAACAAAAAAAGTTCCCAAAAAAATTCAGAGTATGATTTATCTTGTGAAATAAAACTTGCTCTCTGCTGATCTAGAATGGGAATATGTATACAATAATGCATGTCTCTTTAAATTTGTTTGAGGGTTATTTGGGGGGGGGGGGGGGGGGGTGGTGCTACCAGTAGTTCCACTTACTTTTCTTACCGTCTGTTGTCTCTGTCTGTCTCTTTCTCTTCCCCCCCCCCCTTGCGCTTAATGACTTTTGTTATGTTAATGTGCTTCTTCTTTACTAAACTGAAATGCAGTTTTTCTCATGCCCATTCCTGTGGATGGCTGGTGGGTGCTCTAATGTGGTTTGCTCCCCCTTTCCTATCAGACATTTGTTATCCTCATCTGTCCCTCTTTGTTTTTTGTTTCTCTTTTACAACATCTCTAATCTTCAGCAATTATATTACCTAAGTGTTGCAAGCGCTGTAAAATTCTAATTCAGACTTGTCCATCCCTGACATTCCAGATGACCCTGAACAGAACCTGATGTCTGGCGAAGCATCTGGTCTGGCCAGCAAAGACGGCAGTGGTCAGTATCGTAATATGGTCACCGGCTTGTCCCTGGAAGATCTGTCCGCTCTGTCAGAGCCAGTGCAAGGTGAGCAAGCAGGTGTGTGTGTGTCTGTATATATACGTGTCACGACGCGCTGGAATGTGGCGCTCGTCAATTTTTGGGCGTTTGGAGTTATTGAAATCATCTTAAAGTTTGTTATGTCTTGTATGTAATGAAAAGATACCAATCTATCTTGGATAGAAGTCGGAATATTTTCAATTTATATAAGTGGAGTTCACCTGATGTTGGAGGTAAAATTAGCAAGAAAATAGCTGCCAGAGTTGGGTGAATTCTACAGCTTGAGAGTCTCAACTTGCTGCTGGAGTAAATAAATATGTACAACTTTCTAGGTGTGTCTGTGTGCATGCATGCATACATGAATGCATTAGTGGATGCTTGCATGCCTGTATGTATATGTGTCTGGTTTAGTTGTTATTTCATGCATGGCTACAACTCTGCCTATAGGTCTTTTATTTCTCCTGAGTGGATAAGCGGGTGGTTGGCAGATGCTCTAGTTTGGTTCAAACATTTATCATCCTTACCTCTCCTCCTTTTTTTATGTTTACTACACTCTTGTATGTAACGCTCTAATATTCGGCACTCATATGACCTTATTGAGTTGCAAGTGTCGTATTACTAAAATTAATAACTAAATTTCCTTCCACTTGTTTGCAGGGGACCAAAAGCTTGTCACGGAGATGCAGATGTTTTCTGCCCAGCTCCGCTGCAAACACCGCACCGTGGAGCAGAGTCTGGTGTCCCAGGACCGACTGATCAGACAGCTGGAATCGAACCTGCAGCACGCTGCGCAAGACCCCAACCCAGAGTCTACCTATGCCCGACTCAGTGCTAAGCTCAACATCATGAAGGTATGTGCTAATCGTTTGATTACTAGATGAGGGTTTTTATTGTGATCACCAAGACTTACATCCCCATCCCTCTGCTGGGATGGAGCAAAGTGCTTTGCCCTCTGAAATGAGAAATTGATTTTGGAAACAGATTTTAAAGTAGGTAGCTGAAAGGCACCTTTGGCAAATCCTACTCTGCACTTTTCATGTTGTTATCACCTTATTCGTTACCTGCGGGTGGTTAGAGAGTGCCACTGGTAGGTCCCATAACTTTGCTTTCCCTCTGTAGTTTCTGTTTGTCTTACTTTTTCCCAGTGCTATATGACCATTACTGTGTCGATGTGCTTCTGTTTACTCAAGTAAACAAATTATTCTTTACTTGGTCCAGATCATTGCTGTCGAGTAGATGTGCTCTTTTTTAACTCACACTCAAGCTAGATGTTAAAAGAGGTATTTGGTAGGAGATGTTCATTGTTCATGACCTATCTGGGTGTTAAGTAGTAACAGAAATAAGGTGTCTGAGCTTGCTTTTGTTTTACTAAGAGTTTTACGGCACTTGCAACACGGTTAGGTCTTCTAAGTGCCGTGTCTGACTTTGGTTCTTCATCTGTTTTCTGTCACAGGCCAACAAGGCGAAGCAAGAGAAAGACTGCCTGGCCATCAAAGCGGAACTCGAATCTCGCATACGACAACAGCAGATGCAGCAGCAGCGGCAGCCGCAACATCCCCTGGAACGACATCTGCTCAACTCTCCTCTGCCCACCAACCCCCGCCGAATGGCCATCGTTCCTCCCATCCAGAGGCTGCATGCGGATGAGGACTTGAACCCTATTCCCCCGCAACACAGCCCGGGGGACTTGAAAGGCGGCCATGGTGGTGTACAGATCTCTAGTGAGAGTTGCGGCAGTTCCAAATCTCCAACACCCCCACCCCCAAGTTCCCTTGACGGCAACAACGCAAAGTTCAACACTTCCATACAGAAAAGTTCAACCCAGAAGCTCAACAAACAAGGAGGAGGTTTGACGGCTGCTGGAGGGTTCAGCCCTGGGGCTGCTGTAGCTCAAGGCCCGACAGCCACACCACCCCACCACTCGAACCCTGGTGGCACCCAGGCGTCACCATACAGTCTGCACCACCACCACCATCACCATCACCACTACCACCATCATCAGATGGGGCCTTCTTCCCGAGGAGGAGGAGGAGGAGGAGGAGGAGGGGGAGGGCAAGGTCAGCCTTCACAGCAACAGCAGCAGCTACTGCAACAACAACAGCACCACGCCCCTCCTTCCGAATTTCCACCCACCCCTCAAGTCAAAGAGAACGTAACTCCGTCACTAACGGCATTCGCTGGGTTTGACGGTACCCCGGGGTTCTCCTCCCCTTCGAGCACAGCCACGGGGGCTCTCACGATATCAGTGTCGTCGAACCCCACGTCCCTCGCCTCGCCCATCGTGTGCGACACGTCTCCTGTGTCCGTCGATGAGTCTCCGAGTTGTGCCAGCGACACGTCGTCCGGCTACCACAGTCTGTCGCTGGGCACAGACGTGTCGGGCCCGGTGTCCGGTCAGTACAAACAGGCGCACAGTCTAGACATGACCACCGGCACGGGCCCCATGCAGCAGCACCTGGCGTCCAAGACAATGCTGGGGCCTCAGGTCTCTGGCCGCTCGCCCGAGCTGATCTCACCAGCCCCTCATATCACCAGTAGCTCGTCCCCGTCGAAGTGAGCACTCCACTTGTGTGTGTGACATTGCTGGCTTGTGAGTCCGAGGTGTGGGAGCAGCTTAAAGTGATCACACGCCTGTATACACAGGCACACACACTTCTCTGGGTTGATAGCAATAACAGCTACAACAACAACAACCACTATACTCAGCAGTCCCCTACAGCTCAAGCAAACACACCCATAAACTCACACACGTGCTCACACATATATACATGCATATTTACATTTTAATATGCTGCCTGTTCTCCTTATATGCTCATACACTCTCACACTCACAAATACACGCATACACATTCACTTATGCACACACACACTCATACATACACTCACTCACTCACTTACTTACAGACAGTATTTACTGCTATCCCAGTTTTCATCACATTCTGACTTCCCACCGCCCATCTGAGCTACTTGGGGGCAAAAGTTGTAAACCTGATCGTTCTCGATCTGTTGTTTTATGCTCACTAATGATATATTATCATATAATATATCTTAATTTTTCTTGTGCTCTGGAATGTTCTACAACGAGCGAATCATCAACAGTCGACAACAGACGTAACCCCTAGTGGACAAAGAGTTTGTTTGGGGGTTTGGTTTTTTTTTGCCTTTTTTTGCTTTTTTTTTTTTTTAAATTCCATATCATGTCATGGTGCGACATCGTGTTGTATAGTGT